TTTCAAACAATTATTAAATTTTACAGAACTAAAAATAATTTATCAAACAATTTTTGGAAAACATTTTTTAAATTTAATTGAATTTTCAAAGATTTAAAATTGAGATTTTTGAAATTAATTGAAACTTTAAGTGTTTTGTAATTAAAATTTTAAATGATTTCACTAAAAATTTATTAGAAAATGCGGACAAAATACAATAATTTAAAAATCATTTTTAATTGAAAAAAAATAGGACAAGTGCGAGTTACACTCGCACTGAAATCGAGGGTTCCGTACTCGAAGCGAACTTATTTGGTATAAAAACAAATGTTTAAAAAATATGTGTTGTATGTTAAATAATATATGTGATACAAAAAGGAACAATTTTTAAAAAAAATTTAAGAAAATTGTTCCTCCTTTGGTATAAAAACAAAAAAATTTTTAAATATGTGTTGTATTTCAAATAATATAAGTGATACGAAGAGGAACAATTTTCTTAAATTTTTTTTAAAAATTGTTCCTCTTCGTATCACTTATATTATTTGAAATACAACACATATTTAAAAATTTTTTTGTTTTTATACCAAAGGAGGAACAATTTTCTTAAATTTTTTTTAAAAATTGTTCCTTTTTGTATCACATATATTATTTAACATACAACACATATTTTTTAAACATTTGTTTTTATACCAAATAAGTTCGCTTCGAGTACGGAACCCTCGATTTCAGTGCGAGTGTAACTCGCACTTGACCGATTTTATTTTATAAATAATATTTTACTAAAAAAATGTAAGAAACATAATTTTATTTTAACTCGCAATATTTTTATTGTATTTACATTTTAAAAATACATTTAATATTAAATTTTATCTTTCTAAGTCAAAAAGAGATAAACCTTAAGATATTGATATAAGAGCTGCTTGTCAAGGAAAAATCGAAAGTTATCTAAAAAATAAAATTTGTTAATTAATTCTTATAATTAATTAATTTATAATTTAATCATATCATGTTTATTAAATTATTTCTATAATCTACACATAAAAATACGTAAAAATAGTAAATTTGAACCCCTTTAGATAAAATTTTTTTTGTTATTGGGAAAAAATTCATGATTTTTTCTGAAATTATCAGTTTTTTCTTGACAGCCCCAGAAAAATAGACTCCAATCATCCTCGCTATATTTTTTTGTAATCTACACGTAAAAATACGTAAAAATATATAAATTTGAATCACTTTAGAAAAACTTTTTTCGTTTTTTGCGGAAAAATACATTTTTTTCTTAAATTTATCATTTTTCTTCAAAAATTTGATAAAAATTGATCATCAACTCCAATCGCGCTTACATTTTTTCCCTGTATTTTTCACGCAAAAATTGAGTTTTACAGCAAGTATGAACAGTCTGGATTGAATATTGTGTGCGCTAGGGAGAATAAATCATTTTTTTCGAAATTTTTGATTTTTCCTTGACAACGCTATGTAAATTAATCCGAATCAAGTTCGCTATAATTTTCCTGTAATTTTCACGTAAAAATACGTAAGTGTGTCAAATTTGAGCTCTTTATGTCAAAAGATGTGGCCGCTAGGGGGGGGGGGGGGTACATACTCATTTTTAGGTATTTTTCGTAAAAATTCATGGTTTTTCCTTGACAACGCTATGATAATCAACTCCAATCATGCTCGCTATATTTTTTTTGTAATCTACACAAAAAAATACGTTAAAATATATAAATTTAATTTCCTTTAAATAAAATTTTGTTCGTTTTTGGTGGAAAAATACATTTTTTTCCTAAAATTGTCATTTTTTCTTGAAAAACTTGATAAAAAGTTAATCATCAACTCTAATCGTGACCGCTTTTTTTCCCTGTATTTTTCCCGTAAAAATACATTTGTATATTAAATATGAACTGTCTGGGTTGAATATTGTGTGCGCTAGAAAGAATAAATCATTTTTTTCGAAATATTTGATTTTTCCTTGACAACGCTATGTAAATTGATCCGAATCAAGTTCGCTATAATTTTCCTGTAATTTTCACGTAAAAATACGTAAGTGTGTCAAATTTGAGCTCTTTATGTCAAAACATGTGGCAGCTAGGGGGGGGGGGGGGTACATAGTCATTTTTAGGCATTTTTCGTAAAAATTCATGGTTTTTCCTTGACAACGCTATGTTAATCAATTCCAATCAAGTTCGCTATAATTTTCCTGTAATCTACACGCGAAAATACATATGTGTACTAATTTTCAGCCCTCCAGATAAATTTATGTGGCCGCTAGGGGGGGGGGGGTACACGATTTCAAAAAAACCGATATTAATAGGGTTCCGAACCGAGTACGGAACCCTAAAAATGGTTTCAGATAGTTGAATTTTCAAAGAATATTATTAAAATATAGTTAAAAATAATTGAATTTCCTTAGAGTATTATTGAAATTATTAAATTTCAAAAAAAAAATTTCGATGGAAAATTTTAGAAATAATTAAATTTTAGATGATTTTAAATTCAAATTATTGAAAATTCAATTAATTTTGAATTCAAATTTTTGAGAATAATGACATTTTATTTGATTTTACATTTGGAAAATAATTGAATTTCAGTTCATTTTGAATTGAAAATTTTGTGAAATAATTGAATTTTAATTGAAATTTTGGATAATAATTGAATTTAAGTTCATTTTTGATTGAAAATTTGGATAATTAATTTTGAATAGGAATTTTAGAAAATAACACAGCCACACAAAAAAAAAAAGTACCCGGGCCGGGGAATGAGACCACCATTTCTTGATGTATTTTGATGCGCTGAACACGAATCTGAAGTCCGTTTAGCTCCATCACGTCAGGATTTTGACATAACCTCAAAAAACATAGCTGATTTTAAATGACAGGAGAAATTTTTTAAATAATGGCAGATTTGTTTGAATCTTGTTACTCGGGGGTTTTTGGGGTCGCTGATTACGAATTTAACGTCAGATTTATAAAATTCAAAATGGCGGATTCAATATGGCGGACGAATTTTTAAAAAGTAGTTGGATTTTTACGAAAATTGGTATCTAGGGGTTTTGGGAGTCGCTGATTACAAATTTATCGTCAGATTATTCAAATTCAAAATGGCGGATCCAATATGGCGGACGAGTTTTTAAAAAATAGTTGAATTTTTATGTAACTTGGCCGATACTGGGGTTCCGAGTCCCTGCATCGTAATACGTTTCCTACGTATGTCTGCCATGACGGCATCAAAGCCATTATCCAGGGACTTAGCCGGATAGCGGACAAACTCCGTTGTCCACCGTCACCGCGTGGAGGTACCCTGGATGCAGACACATGTAGAAACATAAAGATATTTGACCACCGTACTATATCTGCCATTTTACATTTGAATAATCTGACGTTAAATTCGTAATCAGCGACTCCAAAAAACCCCATGATACCAATTTTTGTAAAAATCCAACTACTTTTTAAAAATTTGTCCGCCATATTGGATCCGCCATTTTGAATTTGAATAATCTGACGATAAATTTGTAATCAGCGACTCCCAAAACCCCTAGATACCAATTTTCGTAAAAATCCAACTACTTTTTAAAAATTCGTCCGCCATATTGGATCCGCCATTTTGAATTTATTAAATCTGACGTTAAATTCGTAATCAGTGACCCCAAAAACCCCCGAGTAACAAGATTCAAGCAAATCTGCCATTATTTAAAAAATTTCTCCTGTCATATAAAATCAGCTATGTTTTTTGAGGTTATGTCAAAATCCTGACGTGATGGAGCTAAACGGACTTCAGATTCGTGTTCAGCGCATCAAAATACATCAAGAAATGATGGTCTAATTTCCCGGCCCGGGTACTTTTTTTTTTTGTGTGACTGTGTAATTGAATTTTATTACATTTTAAATTGAAAACTTGGTAAGTAATTAAATTTTAAATTTCCTTAAAATCAGAAAAAAATTCATAATTTATAGTAATACTGAAAGATGGCAAATAAATACTATAAATTCTATCTTCCCAACAAACTTATTTCAAATAATTAATTGTAAATCTATCGGATTTTATGACGATTTTATTTTCAAAATTCATTTTTATTAAAAAATATCTATTTTTAAAATTTCGGAGGCTCGAAATTCAATTTAGAGATATGGTTCTTTGAGCAGTTTTACTCAGAATTATCCCTAGATAACTCTATTGCTACACGTTCTGTTGAAAAAAATTTGATCATGCAAATTGACCCACTCTAATATATATATATATATATTAATATTTCTTATAGTTTAATTATTTGATTTATTATTTATCAACATGTAAAAAAGTATTTTTATGTTATATTCAACGTTTTTAAATGATTTATATTATTTATTAATGTAAAAATAACATATGATAAATATATTTACCAATTATTTGTATTTGTTTTATTATTATATTAAATTAAGTTGAGAACCATCTATAAAAGAGTTTGGATGATAAGAACATTTTAAAAGAATACAAAATGTACAAAATAACTTCCTCCTTCTTTTACGTTGTACAAAGTAACAGCCTTACTACTTTACATTGTACAATATAACTTCTGAAACATTTTGTACAAAATAACAACTCACAAACTATTTTTGTATACCAGTGATACTGACTCTTAGCATTACAAAAATATTCCTATTAATTTAAATTTATATAAATTCATTTCAAGTTTTATTTTAAAATATTTTCAAAATTCGAAATATGCAAAGTTTTGAGTTATAACAAATTTATGTAAAATTTTAAAAACCTTCAATATTTGGAAAATTGTTGACTCTAATGAGATAAATAGTTTTAAAGTAGAGAAACAAATTCAAATCTAAAAAAAAATGTTTAAAACTAAATTTGTTTCACCTTTCATATAAATGGATTACTTTTTTTGAGTAACTGTATTTTTGAAAAGCTTAATTAAAATTATTATTGACAATAATTAATTTCGCCAAAAATTTTAGTTCCAGCGTAATTTATAAAAAATGAATTTTTAAAGAACACTATTAAAATTATTTTAAATAATTATAACTTAATAATTATTAATTATAGTTTATTTAATTTTACATAGTTTTTGAAAAAATCAACTAAAAATGACTAATTTAGCATTATTTAGCATTCTTTCATCCAATCGATTTTGATCAGACTTTGGTCAACAGAATTTGCCAGGGAAGGTGCAAATAGTAGTATTTAATTTAATTTTAAAGCATACTTACGACTTTTTTCGAAAATCTTTTGTCGTTTAATTTATTATTCAGTAATTTGGCTTCGTCTTCAGTATTGGCTGGAAAATCAGCCATCTCTTCATCTTCTTCCTCATCGTCCTCGGGTTTACCTACATTGGTCGCACTAAGCTGGTGACACAAATATTCTACCATCATTCCGATTGTATTTAATTTTTTGAATATTCTGATCTCTTTCTCGGAGCCTAAACATTTAAAATAACAATTTTTTAAATACATAAAAAAGATAAGTTAAAATGTTCATTTCTTTATTATAATAACCTTAATCATTGTGTACTAATATGTTGTAAGTTTTGGAACGGGATTTAAGTCTATTTTTTGAAATTTTACAGAATTTTACAGTGGCTTTTGAAAAATAAAATCTTCATTAAAATAGGCCAGCTTTACTCAATTACTGTCAGATTACATGAAAAAATGTTGAATTATGTAATTGTCTTAAATGAAAGTCTGTTGAAGAAAATTGATATTGCAGTTTTCGGAGTTGAGCTTCTTTCGAAATTAACGATTTAATTTGATAATAAGTGTATTTCTTACAGTTCCATTGTTCTATTTCTTCAGGCTTGTCTTCAAATTTTGATTTTTTCCTTCCTTTACGTCCTCGGCCTCCTCTACAATGACATTCTTCTTCTTCATTCTCCTCCGGAATTTTGTTTTCTACATCCTGCTAAAGGAAAGTTTTTTTGTATATCACTATAAATATTAAATTATTACAAGAGCTTACCTCTTTTTCAAGAGTTTCATTTTGCGATGAAACGAAATCCGACATGTTTGCAGGCTCATTTAAATTGTTTTCAACTACGAGTAATTCATCAGCTTTATCAGTTTGTGATTCTGTGTCCAAACTTTCATATGGAATTAGTTTTCGTTCGCCTATTACTTTAAAAATGTATATTTACAATAAACAATAAAATTATGAATTAGAAAATTATGTTTAATATAATATTTAGGTATTTGAGTCTAATCTATTTAAAAAGTCTTATTAAATTCTTGTAAACAATTGAAAATTAAAGACAAATTTTTTTAATGAATAATTAGTAACTAATTATTTTTACCATTTTCGATTTTTCTCTTTTTTGCCTTCCTAGGATCAGGAATAGATGGATTAAATCCACCATTATTGGAATCATCAAAGTTGTCGGATTTTGTATCTGAACTTAAAATTTTTTTATGCCTCTCGTGTCGCGTTTGTTTTAATTTTAAATTATTGACATTGTCATCTGTTTCTACTTTTGACATTTCTAAAGCCATTTTCAACTTATTTAAAGCGTCTTCGTAATTTTCTGCGGAAAAGGCAAATTTAAAAAATTTTGTAAGTGACACATTTCAAGGTAGATAAAAAACAATAAGAATTTTAAGGATAGGTCTAAGTCGTTCCAATTTTTACGTAGAGCTTTAAGGGGTTTCCTAAATTTTTTTGGTCAAAAAAATCGAATTTTTTTTTCTTCATTTTTTGATAGGAAAGTATGTTAAGAATGTGTGGTTAAATCATTAGATCGTAATTCGCTCATAATCTTAAGTTATTTAACAAAATACATATATATATATATATATATATATATATGCGTCTACAGATCGTATAATTAACCCTTTCGTGTCCACGATAAACCGAGCGAATGGATTTGCTTGAAATTCGTTACTCGGGGGTTTATTGGGGTCTCTGATTACGAATTTAATGTCAGATTTTAAAAATTCAAAATGGCGGATCCAATATGTCTGACAAGTTTTTTAAAAAGTGTTTAGATTGGCTCGAAATGTCCTACTCGGGGGTTTATGGGGTCGCTGATTACGAATCCGGTGTCCATTTTTCAAATTTCAAAATGACGGATCCAATATTCTGACATCATATTCGTAATCAGCGACCCCAAAAACCCCCGAGTACCAAGTTTCGAGTAAATGCAATTGATTTTTAACTTTCATGTCCGCCATATTGGATCCGCCATTTTGAATTTTTAAAATCTGACATCATATTCGTAATCAGCGACCCCAAAAACCCCTGAGTAAGAATTTTCAAGCTGATTTAGTTACTTCTGCTTGACTAATTATAACCTTTTGATATAAAAACTTTAAACGCTTTTTTCTCAAAACACTATATTTAAAAATGGTAACCAGTAGAACTCAAAAACCGTTTGACCGATTTTAAAAATTCAAGTTGCATTCGATTCAGTGGAAGTTTTTGCAGGTCCTAAACCTCTAATATATTTAAAATATTCAATAATCATGTTTCTGTGAGTGATTGATTGTCAAAAAATGGTATTTTTTCAGTTTTTTGGGTTCCAAAGCTTGCCATTTTTTTATTTTTTGATTTTTTTTAATATCTCGAGGTTTAGGACCTGTATTAGGTCTTAAACTTTAAAATCACGTTTGATTTTTTTATTTTAGATGATTCTGCGATGAGCTACAGTGGTTACCGTAAAGGGCTTTGATTTTGACCAGTGTACATAGCGACCTCTGTAGAAGGAGCATAATAATATTTTTTAAGATCGCAATTTTTTTTTAAATAGTTCTTGACGTATATAGTAACATGTAAAAACTTTTGATCAATTATATTTTAAAACTTATGAGTACACGATCTTTTAAAAACCTTCTATTTTAGGGCAAAAAAATTTAGGAAACCCCTTAATCGAAAAGTTGTAACGACTTGGATTTGCCCTTAAGAAAATGAGATATAATTTTAAAAATATTGACCCAGTTTAATATTGTTAATAAATCATTAAATAAAATGACATGTGTATAATTAATTTCCTTTTAAATGATTATTTAGTTTTATACTATTACAGGAAAGACTATCGAAATTTTAAGCTTTAAAATTCATCATTAAAAATTTACGTTATCAGCCTGCGCCAATTTCTTTGTGGCATTATTTAGGATATGAAATTAACGTTATAAAAATTTTAAACGAATTCAAATTTAAGTTTAAGCAAAACAGGAATTTTGTTCATTTGAACGTTCAAAAATTGTGAAATATAAATTGAGGCTTGTTTAAAAAAACATAAGTCTATTTCTTTTATGAAAATAACTTTTCTTATTAAAACGTTTTCTTTAAATGAAGCCCCAAAATATCGTATTATATTTAGCGATGCATTTGAACGTGAATACAAATAAATGAGAGACTTTAACATTATTAGTCATCTTTTCTGACAAATGCACATTTCATCTCATTTTATTAAAACGAACTGTCCGTTTTATTGTCTTATTTCGATCAACCTATGGATTTTATTAAACATGATGTCAACAAAACTTTAATTACCAAACTAATCAAACTAACAGTTTGGTGCTTAGAATTGGTTACAAATATAAGGTCTTATAAACTATAATTATTTATTTATATAAATTAATTAATAAAAATACAAATCAGTCTTATGTAGTTTGTCAAGTTGCAGGTTAACAGAATGTAATTCAAAAAAAAATTTCAAATATTCAGAAGAAAAACAGGTTTTACTGATTCCTGAGTAATTTTGATTTATGAATTCGTCTTATTTCTGATCTTTACTGCGTATAATTGAATGAAAAATATATTTCAACATTTTAGAACTAATATTTAAAAAAAATTAAATTCTTTAAAAATCTATATGATAAACTGTTTCAAACGATAAAAAAAGATATAACAAATTTCAATTTCAAAAGTATCACTGGTATAAAAATTGAAATAATCAACATTTACTTTTTCTTTGAGTGTTGAATTTGTTTTCGACATTTCGTAAGAAACAAATACCATAACCCTTAAAAAATAGAAAAAAGTGAAAGTATATATAATCACTTTACAATGTTTTTTATCCTTACAGAATGTTACGGACGGATTTCCGTAATTTTTAATTTTTTTTTTAGGCGATAAATATTATTTATTCAAAATAATATTTATATTATCAGCGTTACAACTATTTGTCAATTAAATACCTACGTCTATACAACACACAACACACACACATACTAAGTTTTAGACACTAGAATAGTTAAATAATATTTCTAATTATTCAATAAATATTTATAAATTCATTTTTTTGTTATTTAAATTTCTAAATCAAAGTTTATTTCGCAAATGAGTTCAGTTTATTGAACTTCATATTGCGAAATAATTCAAACTAAATTCACAGTCGATTTCGCAAGTTGTGGGACTTACACTCTAAGAGTTGCCACATTATTTTAGGAAAATGAGGAAACACATAAAGTATACCGTTAATAAAGGTGGTTGAACCGATCACGCCACGATTAAAATGCAAGTTTTGCTAAAACTTGCATGGAAACAACGAGGTGTTGATTGCAAAATCAACCCTCCCACCACCTAAAATTATATACCAAATGGGTGTGATCGTGGCCACAAAATTATTATTCGAGGAGTCTTAATTTGGTTTTCCCGCAGAGCGGATGTATTTCCCGCCAAGGAGCGGATGAGTATTAAAGTTTAACTCCCACTAAGAGTGGTAGAGAGGATCATTTACTCCCCATAGTAAGGGTTGAAGTTCATCGAGTTTTATTTATTAAAAATATAAGTGTTTATTCCACAATCTGTGAAGTCGACGAGTACATAAAAGTTCATTGAAATCAAGAAGATAATCTGAAAAGTATAAAGTGTTCTAATTGTTAAAGTGAAGAATCCATTTCTTGTCTAAAAGTATTTATTATATATTCGCAATTGTTTATATTTCAAGTTTACTGTTCAGAAAATTCAGATTTTGTGACCCAATACTCTGAATTTTTAATAAACAGAAATTGAAATATTGAAATAATTGTTCGAAGACAATTAACAAAACAAGTTTGATAAAAGAAAATATATAAAATAAACGAAGGTAGAAAGAATAATTTCCGCATACTGCAGAATCATATGACAGATAACAATTTAACTTCTGAGAGTGAGAAAGTAATTTGATACTTTTCGGTATCATTTTAATTATTATTATTTGGGTGAGTTGTCTTGAATTTATATTCATAATTTGAAAATTACAGAATCTCATAAAACCAACACTATTACACTTGTTTCAATTACACGAATTAATTTTTTGTTGTTGTTATTAAAATCCTACACTCATTATTGATCTCTTGTTTGTGTTCATAATATATGATTTTTGTGAGACTTGAATTATCAATTCAAGTAGCTTAACGTAGCAGTATTTTCCATTGTAAACATTTTTATTAAAGATCAATTGGGGTTTTGAATGTATTTTCTTTTGGGGGTTGTATGAATAAATGTTACCTTATTTTATGTCAATTCAATTCTCAATTTATTTAATCACCTTTATTTGTGTTATCTCATTTCTTTCTTTGTGAATATTTTCGACAAAATACCGTCTACCCGGGGGTGTTGAATAGATAACACTCTAAGCGACTGTCCACTACCTTTTTCTATCTTGTGTAGCGAAGAGCAATTACGCTTACCGAATAAGCGGGTTGTTAATAATAAAGATTAGTGTAGTTTCTAACTTATTATTTTTCTTCAAAATTTATTTTACTTTATTTATTTTTTTGTTAATCAACATCCGTCTTTAACAAAATGGTGGCAGCGGTGGGATTTGTCGCTCATATTTTTGAGAAAATAATTTAAAAGAGAGAAAAATGAGAGATCAGTAAAGAGTGAAAAAAATAAATTTTCTTTCTAAAAATGTACATGTTTTAAAAACACAATTACAAACACACATTAAACACTGAAGATTTAAATGATGGAAAATGATGCAATTGAATTTATACACCATGAACAATTATTGAATTGAAAAATTTATTTATTGTATCGATGTTATGATGTTTTAATTTTCAGACAAAATTTTTTTTTTTGGGATTTTTGTCAAGTGCGCGAGTAGAATTTTTGTTTATTTTTGTTTGGTTCGCTAACGTCGAACCGAGACACAGTAGCTACCCTTGCATTCGGCAAGCTCTGGTTTCTCTAAAAATTCGGGAAAAATTCCTCGACTTAACCTTGCCGGAAGTGTGTAGCCACTTGGGCAAGTGAGAGGATTAAAGTACGAAAAAGTACAAAACGCGACTTTAAATTTTTGTTGTTGAATTAAAAATTCTAAATGTTTGATTTTTCGAAATACGAGCACGAGAGTAAATCCGAAAAACAGAGTAAAATTCGAGAACAAATCTTATCGAGAAGAAATATTAGTCCGGAAAAATTCGATGCGGTAAAAAGACAATTATTCGTGGAAAAAGAAAAAATCAAAGATACGCGTTCAGAAAATAGTTATAGTACATTAGCGCAATCGTTGCGAAAGTTGAACATGTCGGATTAATTAAATCGAGTTATTTATTTGTTGCGAATTCAATGACCTACAGTAGCTAGGTAGTTTAC